TAACGCCGGGTATCCGCTAGTATAGTATAAAGTCGTATAGGCAACGGCTGGCTACTGACATAGATAATGCTCTGATATCATAATTTAGGGGTTGAATAATGACAAATAAGGTCATTATTCACCCCTGATATCATAATATACACATGTATAGGTAGCATATACGTGATTTGTATCATATCAGGAGTGTATAGTATGTATAGCGATGTTTCATGTTATAAACATTGACGTCATATGCGCACATGCGCAGTTTAACGGTTGGCAGCAAAGCAGATGCGTGATATTGTTTGATACAAGCACACGCACGCCACGGCCGGCACGCACGCACCACGCCACGCACACCCCCCACGCACACGTGCTACGCTACACCACCGACCAGCAACAACCGCAACCTATCATCCGACACAGACCACGCACAGCGCAACGTGTAACGTGCACACGCACGCCACACACATCATCGCACATACGTGTACGTGCACACGCACGCACACGACGCTACGAATGGCAGCGCACGTGTAGCTGCACACACACCACGCTACGACACCGCACCGCACACATCACAGCACGTGTACCTGCACACGCACCACACGCACGCACGCACGCACACTGCACGCCAAACGTGTACCTGCACATTCGCTGCGGCAGCGCACGTGTACGTGCACACGCGACGCACGCACGATCAGCAGAACGAGCCACGCAACGCAGCGCAAGCCCGTCTACGTGCACATCGCACACCGCGTCCTACAGAACACAGCACGCACGGCCAGAACAGCCCACGCACGTGTACGTGCACACACACGGCGCACGCGTCAGACCGCAGTGACGCACCCACCAACGTGTAACGGTGCACAACAACGAAACTCGACACGCACCGCACGTGTAACGTGGCCTAACAGCACGAACGCACCGCACAGCAGCGTGTTACGTAGCCACACGCACGCACACACGCAACGCACGCAGTGTAACGTGCACACGACCGACCGCAACGCACGCATGCGACGCACAGTGTACCGTGCACACGCACGCACGCACGCAAACGAACGTGTACTGCAGCACACGCGCGTACACACGCACGCACGCACGCACGTGTACGTGCACACGCACGCAGGCACGCAATGCGAGCAGCACGTGTACGTGCAACACGCACTCATACCCAACAGTCGAGCAACAGCCAAGCGTGCTAGCGATCACACCCACTCCACTGACCAGCTGGCCATCGCTGTAGCGTGGCACCGCAACGGCACCACGCATGCACGCACGTGTAACGTGCACACGCACACGCGACAGTGAGCCTGCACACCGGCTTACACGCACGCTACAGCACGTGTCAGCGTGTAACGTGCACATATCACGCAGCGCATGCACGCACGCAGCGTGGCTAGCGTGCACCACTGACGCACGCACGCATGGCACGCATGTCGATACGTGCATATAGCAGGTACGCACGCGCCGCACGTGTACATCCAAAGCGCACGCCCAGCAAACAGCGCGCATGCACAAACCAGCGTGTACCTGCCACACGCACGCACGCACGTGTACCGTGCAGCGCACGCATCGCGAAAACATCGCACGCCACGCAACGTGATATGTTGCCATACGCAGCGCTCGCACCGCACGTGTAAACGTGCAACACGCGCACGCAAACCACGGCACGCACGTGTGTGAACACGCACGCAGGCACGCACGCACGCTGTCTCACGTTCACACGCACGCACGCACTGCACCACAGCGCGCGAGCGTGTACGTGCACACGCACCGCATGCAGCGCACGCAATGTACGCATGTAAGTGCGCAGCGTAGGTACGCACGCACGCACCGCACGCACGCATCGCACGCAGACAAGCACGCAGCGGCACGCACCGCACGGTCACACGCACGAACGCACGTCGTACGTACACACGGCACCGAGTAATAGTGCACCTACGAGAGACACGCGCGCACCACGCAGCGCACAATCGCACGCATGCACGCACGTTTTACATACATTGCGACGCAACCGCACGCATGCATGCGCGCAGGTGTACGTGCACACGCACGCACGCACGCACGTCTACTGTAAACAGGAATGATGCTATAAATCCAAACTTGTTGTAGTAACCGGAATAAACTTTAATAAAGCATACTTTAATAACTTTAATAACTTAATACTTTAATACTTTAATACTTTAATACTTTAATACTTTTTAACTTTAATACTTTAATAACTTTAATAAGTGTCGTCACATCGCACAAAGAGACAAAGAACGCGCACACGCACATACACGCGTGTGCCTCCTTCCGCAACCAGAACCAGACCCTTCACATCTCCTTCTCTATATCCCCCAAAACTCCTACAAACCACATGCTCCACGCACATGTACCCGTTCTCACAGATTCACTGATGAACTACAAGCTGCTTTGTCAGCTGTACATCAGTATTGTGAACTGTGGAAGTTGTCTGTAAACCCAAGTAAAACTAAGGTTGTTATTTTCTCTCGGGGGAAAGTTCGTAAATTTCCTGATTTTATGTTTGGTGCTAATAAGCTTGATGTTGTTGATGATTATATTTATCTCGGTACTACTTTTAACTATAATTGGTTCTTTCAGTAAAGCTATCACCAAGCAAGTAAATCAAGCGAGGAGAGCCATGCATGTTCAATTTAATTTGTAAGGCAAAGAAACTATGCTTACCTCTTGATATTTAATGTGAGCTCTTTGATCAGTTAGTAGTTACAATCTTATTGTATGGTAGTGAAGTGTGGGGGTTTTCATAAGTTAGACAGCATTGAAATGTTTCATAGAAAATTCCTTAAAAGTCTGCTTAAACTGAATCGTGGTCCTGCTAATTGCATGGTATATGGAGAAGTTGGTAGATTTGCCCTTGCCAGCCGAGTGGAGAAGCGTATGATAGATTTTTGGGCGAGGATTAGCCAGGGTAAAAAATCAAAGCTCTCGCACACTGTTTATACCTTGTTACGAAAGCTACATGAAAATTGTGAATTTGAACCTAAGTGGATAGTGAAAGTAAAGGGTATCTTAGACAAGAGTGGAATGTCCAATCTTTGGGTTGATAATTCATCGTTAAGTCTTGAGTGGCTTAAGTCATCTTTGGATCTGAGATTAAATGATATAGATCGACAAAATTGGAATGATGAAGTCAATCGCAATCGTTTATGTTTTAACTACAAGATTTTTAAACAGGAAGTGGTCTTGGAAGATTATTTGTTAAAATTGGAGGTAGGAGACAGAATATCTCTTTGTAAGTTCCGATGCGGTAATCACAAGCTGCCAGTTGCTAAATGTCGCTATTTATCTGATCAACCTATGGAAATGTGCCCTCTATGTAATCTTAATGTAGGCAGGGCGATGAATTTCATTATGTTCTAGTGTGTCCAATCCTCAACAACGTTCGTAAACGGTATGTTAAGAAATATCATTACACCAGACCTAATGTTCTAACTAAATTTCACCAATTGTTCAACGACTACTTCTGTTAAGCAGTTTAAGAACCTTTCTAAAATTTTGTAGAATTATTATGTCTAATTGGATAATTCTTGTGCATGCTCCTCATTGCATTTATACATTACAATTGGTTAAATCGTTCTGCTGTAATATACTAGTTTAAAATAGTAGTGGTTTATATTAACTATAGATGTCAGTTCGACTTATTTAAATCATATTCTTTGCCTTCACTCGTTTGTTTTGTGCTTGCGGCAAAGACTTTTTTTCTTTCTTTGTACTCTTATTTTGTAATGATTTTGTAGTTGATTGTTCAATTGTCATGTATTTCTTCCATGCCTGCGAAGGGCGCGTTTAAGAAATAAAACTATTAAACTTTATTCTATTCTACACAGTCTCTCAGGTCCTCATACAATGTGTACCGAATTTTGGTGTGCGATAGATGGCGCACGCGACTGTTTGGCGGCACACGCTTACGCCGCTCACGCTTAGCCTCAGCTAACCTGGCATTCCAAAAGGGCGTGCCTGTCACACCATATGTCGTCGGCCGCAGAATGGTAGAGCCCGAGCGTTTTAGAAGAGGAGTCGTGTAGAGAGGTCTCTCGTCTAGGTGGCTTGATGCCTCGGTCCTCAACTCTGCTTGCTTAATGTAACCTGACCTCAGCGTATCAGGAATTTGGGTGGCATAAGGGTACTATTAAGATACGTTAAGGTAACGTTGTAGTAACACTACGGTACACTGAATAAGGTTAAAAATCTGCAAAATGCACTGGGTAATGGTAGTGTGTAGAGTGTACGTTAAGGTACGTTGCGCTAGTTACAGTACGCTGATGCTACGCTAATTGTGTGTAATAGGTGCGTGTATGGTACGGTTACGGTACAATTAAGGTACGTGAATCATAACCCCGCCGGTACACCTGTGATAAGGCTGT